CAGGCTTTCACTTAAAATAGGATAAGAATGAGCATCAAACAGAATTAACCCGGCACGCGCAGCTCTTAAAGGGGCCACGCCTTATTCACGACAGTACTCTAGGGGTCGCTCTTTGACAAAAACAGGATTCCTACATAGTGTACCTTTAAAGTCGCAGTGTTTTTACTGTGGTAAAAGTGTTGTTTGGCACAACGCAAAGGATTATTAAACCCCCTTATGACCAGAATATAGTCAAGTATGCAGATGTGAATGCTTGGCGAGCGAATCAGGATATATAAGCAGCAACAACAACAAAAATGTAATAAAATTATGAATTAAAAAATGTTTATACTTTCAGAAAATAATTTTAAAATAAAACGTTTTAATTAAATATAACATTTTAGAAACTAAAATAAACACATGCCTATGCGCAGATTGCTTTAATAAAACGGCAACAATATAAATATCATATAAAACTAAAGTAAAGCATAACTTTTAATTACTCAGTTTGAGACATATGTACAGTATTAATAAAAAATGACACTAAACTTTTTTTCTTTGAATAATACAGTCCACTATTTTAATGTCGTGCGTTCTGCTATTTCACCACAACTTTGATTTTATAAAGCGTCCAGTTAAAAGATTTAGTTTATGTTGACATGTCCGCTGACAGATAAAGTTAAAGCCGAGCGTCTGGATAAGCTGCAGGCGAGTCACATCTACAGTGGATGAATTATTCAGCGTCAACATGTCCTCTACCTGCCCTCGATCGATAGACGGAGAGATACAGAGAGAGATGCTCATTGTCTCTCTGTCCTCATTTCATCCCTGGAGAATATTATCTAGAAAACATAGAGTTGTCATCATCCATCACGTGTCTTCTGTATACTCAACTTTCTCTCAATATTGCCTTGGACACTTTATATTTGAACATTTAGTAATGTGTAATCTATGTTTTATGGAGAAATCGCCCATTATTGATTCATTTCCAATATAGAAAGCACTTGTTTATTACTACAATGATGATTTGAAACGTTTCGTATGAGATATGCTGAAGTAAAGAGGCCATACGATGCTGTTTTAAAAGGTGTATACAGTGCTTTAACGCTCAAACACACATTATTTGTCATTATTGCAGCCCCTTTATCACCAGTCTGTCTGAAATGCACTGATTTCTATTAAGCTCAGAGTGCTCTGATTGGCCAGCTGACCCAGTGCGTTGTGATTGGCCGAACACCTTACGCATGTAACGCTCATTACCATAATCAAGTCTTCTAAAGCAGTTTTAAACACAGTTATTAACGTCATCGGTTTCGAGTCACAAACAGACACAACATTAAAAAGCATCATGTGACCCCTTTAAAACTGGCCTTCTTCTTTCTGTCATTATCATGTCTCCATCTGTTCTCATCTTTCATGGCAGCTGAATGTGTGTGGGACACTAACTCATTAACAGATTCAGCCAATCAGAGCTGTGGTCAATTCACAATCAACCAATCACTGACTCCTCCCCTGAATATTGATGAGGATCTAACAGCCCTGTCTCTCTCCCCTCCCGAGCTAACCTCGTGTCTGTGTGTGTGTGTGTGTGTTGCTTTGCCTGCTCGTCTCCGCTACGACTACGTCTGTGTGTCTTCAACAACTCGGCCATGATGTTCGTGGCGTTTTTTGAGTGAACTAGTCTAGAAGTAAAGTGTCAGATTGAGCGGATGTTTTCCCGAGACAGATGTGTTGACAGACAGACGCTTGATGGTTTGCCCGAGTCGCTGCGCTCTCCTTAGACTGGTGCGGATACAGCTGCGACTATGACTCACCCGTTCTGTGGGACTGAGCACCAAACTCAAACCTAAACACAAAAACTTTTACTTTATGTTGCATATCTGGCCATATCAAAAAATATTTCCGTCGAATGGCGAATTTCGTTGTGTTTCGTTTAGTGTTTTCTTTTATTTTTGTGGCTTTATGCAATAAGATTTTATTTAATTTTATTTTTGTGTTCCACTTCTGGCTTTATGCAGAGAGATTTTCACTGAATATCAATTATTGATACTGTTTTCATTTCATTAAATATTTTATATTTCTATATTGTCAAAAGATTTTCAATGAATTGTGCTTATTTTCGTGGTGCGTGTCAAAAAGATTAACCGTTATTTAAATCGTTCGTTAATCCGTTATTTAAATTTCAACTTTTTTTCAATTCTGAAATGAAAATAATTTCAGTATATTTAAATAAAAAATACATTTATTTTTATAATAATAATGTATATCTTATTTTTGTTGTAATTGTGAAGATTTCCAGTGAATAGCTATTTAAATCTCAGGATTTATTTTTTTATTTAATGTGGAGCATTTCTGCCTATATGTGAAACGATTAACAGCGAATTAGTCAGACTTTTCCCTCAGATTTCTGAAGAGTCGTATGATCTTTCATGCCCTTTTTGGAGCTTGAGCGCTTTGGTCCCCATCCACTTTCATTGTAAATATTAAAATATCTTCTCTGACGTCCCACGGAAGAAAGAAAGTCGCACAGGTTTGGCGACACGAGGGCGAGTAAACGCTGAAAAGTGACCTGACGTGCCAGTCTAAAGACGGTCTCTCTCTCTCCTCCTGCTCTCTGTGTTCGTTCGACTGTGTGTGTGTGTGTGTGTGCCATTTGCTGTGTTCCTGTACACTATTTGTTTACTCCTCTCTCTCTTTTGTCTTTCCAGCGCTCATTTTCTCTCTTTCTCTTGAAAGCTTCACCTCTCTCCGGAAACAAACGCTTCCTTCCTGGTCTCTTTGTCTTTCTTTTCTGTGGAACTAATCTGTGTATGTGCTTTCGTTTAACTCTCTCTCTCTCTCTCTCAGGGTTTGTTGTCTTCTCTCTCTCTCTCTCTCTCTTTCTCCTGCAGCTGTGCTGGTTTGGTTGACGTCTCTCTCATGGTTTTGTTTGACTCTTCAGTCATGTGATTAATCTTCTGCCTCTCCATCACAGAAAGCGTCTCCTCTTTGCTCTTACGCTGTCTTTCGTCTCTCTTTCTCCCTCCAGCTGTGTGACCGTGTCTCAGTTTGGTGTGTATCCGTGTGCCGCATCATCGCTTTTCAATGTTCATCCTGTGTCTGTCTCTCTTTCAGTCTTTCTGTCTCTCGGTTTGTATCTGATCACTCAGTTTCATTCAGATGTCTGCATTTGTCCTTTTCACCTTGTGTCTCTCTCTCTCTCTCTCTCCCTCTCTCTGCTCGGCTCTGGTTTAGTTCAGTAGATTAGTCAACATTACAGTAATATTTAGGGGTTTAGTACACGTTAAGCTCGATCGACAGCTTTTGTGGCGTAATGTCACTTACCACAGTCATTTTATTTTATTTCAATGTCATGATCACATATTATCTGCCTTTAGAGCTTTCTTTCTGCTTTTAAACCCCAATTTTATTTTATTTTATTCTTATAATAATTTATATTTTACATGGTATAATAAGTCAATTATTTTTTTTTATGGACAGATGACTCATTAAACATTTATTATTTTGTCTTATTTTATTTTGTATTTTATTTTTAACCTCAAACTGTAAGTCAAAATTATTTTATACGGCAATACATACTTTATTTTTTAACTTTAAACAGATGAGTTGTTATTTCATTTTATTACATTTTTTATGTAAGAAATATTCAAAAGAAATATTCTGTGGCAATAAACATGTATTATTTTTAACTTATTTTAATTTTTTGTGGCAATATGCTGTTTATCTTATTGTTCTTAAATGGAGCCATGAGTCAACCTTATTTCCCAAGGCATTAAACATTTTATTTTATTTTTTATTTTTTTTATTATTTTTATTTTATTTGTTTTTATTTATTTTTTCAGCTGAGCAATGAGTCAAAATTACAATCACAATTATTTTCTGTGGCAATAAACATTTTATTTTAAATCAAAATTATTATCCATGGCTATAATCATTTTATTTTATTTTATTACTTTTTTTATTATTTTATTTTATTTGTTTTTATTTATTTTTTCAGCTGAGCAATGAGTCAAAATTACAATCACAATTATTTTCTGTGGCAATAAACATTTTATTTTAAGTCAAAATTATTATCCATGGCTATAATCATTTTATTTATTTTTTTAATTGTTTTTATTTATTTTTTTTCAGCTGAGCAATGAGTCAAAATTACAATCACAATTATTTTCTGTGGCAATAAACATTTTATTTTAAGTCAAAATTATTATCCATGGCTATAATCATTTTATTTTATTTTTTAATTGTTTTTATTTTATTTTTTTCAGCTGAGCAATGAGTCAAAATTACAATCACAATTATTTTCTGTGGCAAAAAACATTTTATTTTAAGTCAAAATTATTATCCATGGCTATAATCATTTTATTTTATTTTTTAATTGTTTTTATTTTATTTTTTTCAGCTGAGCAATGAGTCAAAATTACAATCACAATTATTTTCTGTGGCAATAAACATTTTATTTTAAATCAAAATTATTATCCATGGCTATAATCCTTTTATTTTAAGTCAAATTGAAGTCTGTGGTAATAAACATTATACTACAAATGCCCGTAAGCCGGCTTCTCGTGTACTGAACCCACATCATTCCCATATTAAGTGAGTTTTCCAGTCCAGGCCAGCCCCACAAATCCGGCTCCGGACTCCAACCTCTGGAAGCCAACCGGACCGCAATGACAGCTTTATGTGTTTGCTGAAATATTTAATAACCCTGAATATTGGCCAGTTTATTGTGTCTTTTGGCTGTGTTATAAACATTTTGTCTTACGATGTTTTTATGTTTTATAACAGGAAATGTGTAAAAGCTTGAACGATGTGATTTTTCTTTTACATCTCTCTGTTGTGGCTTTATTTTATTGTGTTGAAGTGATCAAATATTAATTTGTCTTCTGCATATTCTAAAACGTGTGCGGTCAGAATAACGCGAGTGGACGCTCATAGAGGTCAAAAGGTCACCTGGGTTTGATTCTGTGGCGAAGAGAAAGAGTCCCTCATCACTGCTGTTTCTCTGTGTCTCTCACCCGCAGTAGGAATATGGGGAATAAGCCGGCGAACAGTCCTAAGGGTCAGCCGCCAGATGCCGACGGACATTCCTCAGTGTCTGACCTTGCCAACTCGCTCACTGGAGACATGGTGATGGTAGGACAGCGTTTGCATGTCGAGTCCTGCTCCGAAATAAAGTCAAGTCTGAATCACATTGCAGCTCGTTCGTTCGGCCCCTTTACACAGGAAGAGGAACGTTCACTTTAAAAAAAAAATCACGTTTTTCACAGAAAAAAACTTTACCGTCAAAAATACGGTATCAACGTTATTATCGTTTTACAGACTTGACTTAAAATTTACAGTAATAAACCATGTAATGTTAATTTACCAACCTATTGAAGTATTAATATTTGTACCATTGTAATACACTGACAACTACCAATCATCGCAGCCGTGTTGAGTCACATGACCCATCAACAGCAGTCTTCCACATGAAAGTTAATACTATTATACAGAAGCTGCACAAACATTAAACACCGTCATGGTAACACATCATCAACATTTTTTATTTTTATTAAATGTAACATAAAACCCTAATGTACATTAGACAAGAACTAAGAAACAGTTTATTCAACAAAAATACATCAAATGCGAAGTGTCACGCAGGGAATTGTGGGAACGTCAATTTACGTTTTTTTCACAGTTGTTGTTTTCCCTTTCAAAAACTTTTATTTTTACAGTAAATGCACCGTTAGTTCTATCACAGTTATTTACCGTATAAAGTACGGTAACTTTCGGTCTTTTACCGTTAAAATCGCGATCATTGTTTACAGTGTTGCGTATTGGGGTGTCACAAATCCTCCTCTCTCGTGCTCTCTTTAGTTATCTCCGGGGTCGGAAGATGACGAAGGTCCAGTGAGCGAGAAACTGGGCCGGATTCAGTTCAGCTTGGGCTACAGCTTCCAAGACACGACTCTGACGGTGAAGATCCTCAAAGGTCAAGACCTGCCCGCGAAAGACTTCTCTGGGACCTCCGACCCCTTCGTCAAAATCTACCTACTGCCCGACAGAAAGCACAAACTCGAGACCAAAGTCAAGAGGAAAAATCTCAACCCTCACTGGAACGAAACCTTCCTTTTTGAAGGTGAGTCGTGGATCACCCGTGTTTCCAAACATCATAGATTCAGTTTTACAACACCATAGATTATATTCTCATTTCTGTAGAGCAATGCGGCTGCAACACTAAGGTCACAATGGGTTCAATTACCAGGAAGTGTGTGAACTGATAAAATGCAATTTTGTGTAGATGTTGGATGAAGTATGTCCTAATCCTCAATCCCACCCTCTTCCACGTCCTCAGGGTTCCCGTATGAGAAGGTGCGGGAACGAACGCTGTATCTCCAGGTGCTGGATTACGATCGCTTCAGCCGTAACGACCCGATCGGGGAGGTCTCCATCCCTCTGAATAAAGTGGAGCTCGGACAGCTGAAGTCGTTCTGGAAGGATCTCAAACCCTGCAGTGATGGCAGCGTGAGTGGACTTTACAAACGCTCTTAAAGGGAAAGTTCACTCAAAAATGGAAATTAAGTCATTAATGACTCACCTCCATGCTGTACCAACCCCGTAAGACCTAGGGCTGCAGTCAACCAAAGAAATCCTTAGTCGACCAAAGTCGAGTCCTGCGCAACGATTAGTCGACTAAAAAAAAAAAAAAAAACGTGATGTTTTGATTAAACATTTTTTAAACAATTGTCATTGAGCATTTATAAAACAACAACGAAAAAACATCACAAATAAATAAAACTATAATAATAATACAATTCTTTGAAAATTAAGTGATTTTTTGATTTTTTTTTAGTGACACGCTGCAAAACATATAACCGCAATCTGCCACATAATAAAAAAAAATCCCAACAAAAGCTCTCGTTTATACAGGCTTTATATTCTTCTTTACTTTCAAAGCTATGGGTTAACTTTCGTCCTGACGATCAAGGCGTTTTAAACAACACACAAAAAAACCAAATAGCCTAAAAACAATCCTAATAATAGGCTGTAGGACCGCGTATAGGTTTATTTTCGTTTTGTTGCATTATTTAGGCTATTTTCAAATGCGTCAAGTGTACAAATAAAAACGAAAACATTAAGAAAACACAATCTATTGAGTCAGCATGATATAGCCGTTAAAAGGCTGCTCACGTCTTTTGCGCGCTCATAATGGAGCAACGCGATCGCCTCCCTCCACAGTCTTGACGTCTTTGTTTTAAAATGCAGCCAGACAAAAGATTTAGTTTTCCTGGACATTTTGTCGACTAAAGCCAAAACAAGCAGCGTTCTAACTGAATGAATACAGCATCCCTTACCGAGCGCGAGCAGCAGCGCAGCCGGACACAGGTGCGGTTCCCGAGTGTATTATGTGTGTGCGCCAGTGTTGTAGTACTCGAGACTCGGACTCGTCTCGGACTCGGTCTCGAGACCATATTTTAATGGTCTTGGTCTTGTCATGGACTCGTGTCCATTTGGACTCGGAATGGACTCGTACTCGAACATTTTTTTTTTTTAGGACTCGGAATTATTCCCGAGTCCACTCGAGTTCAATTAAAAATATTTTTCATGATTATTAATGTATGTTAATAAAATATTTCTTTAAATTGATTGACACGCCCAGTGATTGGTGATTTTCTAGTGCGCAACTGCGCATGACAAATTGTAATAAAATTACTTTTAACACCACCTACTATGTGGCCTTTTTACCCAAAACTGATCATATTTTTTAAACTCCAAGTAAATTCAGTAAAAAAAAAAAAAAAAGGATTTCTCTAAGTAAATAAAAGTAAATTAGGTAATCAACCCTCACTGGTCTCGGTATCGACTCGGACTCGACCGTCTCTGGTCTCGGTGTCGACTCGGACTCGACTCGGACTCGACCGTCTCTGGTCTCGGTGTCGACTCGGACTCGACTCGGACTCGACCGTCTCTGGTCTCGGTGTCGACTCGGACTCGATTCGGACTCGACCGTCTCTGGTCTCGGACTCGACTCGGACTCGACTCGGACTCGACCGTCTCTGGTCTCGGTGTCGACTCGGACTCGACTCGGACTCGACCGTCTCTGGTCTCGGACTCGACTCGGACTCGACTCGGACTCGACCGTCTCTGGTCTCGGACTCGACTCGGACTCGACTCGGACTCGACCGTCTCTGGTCTCGGTGTCGACTCGGACTCGACTCGGACTCGACCGTCTCTGGTCTCGGACTCGACTCGGACTCGACTCGGACTCGACCGTCTCTGGTCTCGGTGTCGACTCGGACTCGACTCGGACTCGACCGTCTCTGGTCTCGGACTCGACTCGGACTCGACTCGGACTCGACTCGGACTCGACTCGGACTCGACCGTCTCTGGTCTCGGTGTCGACTCGGACTCGACTCGGACTCGACCGTCTCTGGTCTCGGACTCGACTCGGACTCGACTCGGACTCGACCGTCTCTGGTCTCGGTGTCGACTCGGACTCGACCGTCTCTGGTCTCGGACTCGACTCGGACTCGACTCGGACTCGACCGTCTCTGGTCTCGGACTCGACTCGGACTCGACCGTCTCTGGTCTCGGACTCGACTCGGACTCGACTCGGACTCGACCGTCTCTGGTCTCGGTGTCGACTCGGACTCGACTCGGACTCGACCGTCTCTGGTCTCGGACTCGACTCGACTCGGACTCGACCGTCTCTGGTCTCGGACTCGACTCGGACTCGACTCGGACTCGACCGTCTCTGGTCTCGGTGTCGACTAGGACTCGACCGTCTCTGGTCTCGGACTCGACTCGGACTCGACTCGGACTCGACCGTCTCTGGTCTCGGACTCGACTCAGACTCGACTCGGACTCGACTCGGACTCGACCGTCTCTGGTCTCGGACTCGACTCGGACTCGACTCGGACTCGACCGTCTCTGGTCTCGGTGTCGACTCGGACTCGACTCGGACTCGACCGTCTCTGGTCTCGGACTCGACTCGGACTCGACTCGGACTCGACCGTCTCTGGTCTCGGACTCGACTCGGACTCGACTCGGACTCGACCGTCTCTGGTCTCGGTGTCGACTCGGACTCGACTCGGACTCGACCGTCTCTGGTCTCGGACTCGACTCGGACTCGACACGGACTCGACCGTCTCTGGTCTCGGTGTCGACTCGGACTCGACTCGGACTCGACCGTCTCTGGTCTCGGTGTCGACTCGGACTCGACTCGGACTCGACCGTCTCTGGTCTCGGACTCGACTCGGACTCGACTCGGACTCGACCGTCTCTGGTCTCGGACTCGACTCGGACTCGACTCGGACTCGACCGTCTCTGGTCTCGGACTCGACTCGGACTCGACTCGGACTCGACCGTCTCTGGTCTCGGACTCGACTCGACTCGGACTCGACCGTCTCTGGTCTCGGACTCGACTCGGACTCGACTCGGACTCGACCGTCTCTGGTCTCGGTGTCGACTCGGACTCGACTCGGACTCGACCGTCTCTGGTCTCGGTGTCGACTCGGACTCGACTCGGACTCGACCGTCTCTGGTCTCGGTGTCGACTCGGACTCGACTCGGACTCGACCGTCTCTGGTCTCGGACTCGACTCGGACTCGACTCGGACTCGACCGTCTCTGGTCTCGGACTCGACTCGGACTCGACTCGGACTCGACCGTCTCTGGTCTTGGACTCGACTCGGACTCGACTCGGACTCGACCGTCTCTGGTCTCGGTGTCGACTCGGACTCGACTCGGACTCGACCGTCTCTGGTCTCGGACTCGACTCGGACTCGACACGGACTCGACCGTCTCTGGTCTCGGTGTCGACTCGGACTCGACACGGACTCGACCGTCTCTGGTCTCGGTGTCGACTCGGACTCGACTCGGACTCGACTCGGACTCGACTCGGACTCGACTCGGACTCGACTCGGACTCGACCGTCTCTGGTCTCGGACTCGACTCGGACTCGAGTGAGGTGGTCTCGACTACAACACTGGTGTGCGCTAAACTGTGGCGCAGTTACAAAAATAGCCTAAATTAAAGCATTTTAAAGTTGGGGACAAAACATAGGCTAATTATATTTAGAATACAGTAATAAATAACCGCTTATAAATGAATAACTATCAAGGAGTAAATCATTGAAAAATTCTTTCTATTGGTAAAAAAAAATGCAACTGGTCGACCAATAAGAATGTCGGTCGACCAAGACGGCATCGGCCGATTAGTCGACTAAACGACTAAAGTTACTAACGCCCTAGTAAGACCTTCGTTCGTCTTCGGAACACAAATGAAGATATTTTTGATTAAATCTGAGAGCTGGATCACTCCTGCATTGGCTCCTAAGGGACCGAAAACTTGACGGCCCAGAAAGTCATCGAAGAAAATGTTTAAATATTCCATGTGACTACAGTGGCTCAACTATAAGTTTATCAAGCGACGAGAATACTTTTTGAGCGAAAAAAACAACCCGATCTCACGAGAATTCGTTCGAATTTTATGAGGTGGCTAATTCATAACAATTAGTACGACCTCACTCGTACCATTTTTGCTAAATCGTACATATTTTACGAATTGGCCAATTCGGATGAATTCATACGAATGACCTACCCCTGACCCCGCCCCTAAACCTACCCATCACGTGGGTTTGGGCAAATCGTTCGAATTCGTACGAGTGAGGTCGTATGAATTAGTACGAATTAGCCGCTTTTTAATCACTCGTACGAATTGGTCGTGAGATAGCGTAGGGAAAAACCAACAACAAAAACAACGACTTTGTTTGACAACGGGCCTGAGACGAGAGTTCGAGAGATTTCCACGACGCATGCGCGAGAACTGCGATCTCATTCAACGACTTCAGTTCAGTTCTCGCGCATGCGTCGTGGAAATCTCTTCGTCTCTCAACTCTCAAAGCTCTTTCAAGCTGGTTTAAGACGTGTGTGTGTGTGTGTGTGTGTGTGTGTGTGTGTGTGTTGTAGGGAAGACGTGGCGATCTGCTGTTGTCTCTGTGTTATAACCCCACTGCCAACACCATCACTGTTAACATCATAAAAGCTCGCAACCTCAAAGCCATGGACATCGGGGGCACCTCAGGTACTCGCACACTCGTATGATTAATAAAACATATTGAACTGTGTCATTTGCATAACTCACGCTCTCTCGTTCTCTGATTGGTTGTAGACCCCTATGTAAAAGTATGGCTAATGCACAAAGACAAGCGGGTGGAGAAGAAGAAGACAGTGACCATCAAACGCTGCCTGAACCCCGTTTTTAACGAATCCTTCCCTTTTGACGTGCCGGCACATGTTCTCCGAGAGACCACCATCATCATCACCGTCATGGACAAGGATCGACTGAGCCGCAACGACGTCATTGGAAAGGTGACAATATGTGCATACTGTGCTAGTGTGTGTGTTAAATGTAAATGTACTGGGTAAATTTCTTAAAAATTATAATCTGCTACTGATTTAAAGGAGTAGTTCACTTTTGAAAAAAAACTTTTGCTGATAATTTACTCACCCCCGTGTCATCCAAGATTCTTCAGTCAAAAAAGAAATGAAGGTTTTTGATGAAAACATTCCAGGATTTTCTCCACATAATGGACTTCAATGGGGACCAAACGGTTCAAGGTCCAAACGAGAGTTTCAGTGCAGCTTCAAAGGGCTTTAAACGATTCCAGACGATGAATAAGGGTCTTATCAAGCGAAACGATCACTCATTTAATAAATAAATAACAAAGTTTAAGTTTTATAAGCACAATTGCTCGCCTTGCTCTGTTCTGTGATACGCGTTCGTGACTCTCCGGTTCGAACTCGTTCATCAAAATGAGCAAATCTTTTTTCGAGTCATGACTCGAAGGGTCAGGGTCCTTGATAAGACCCTTATTCATCGTCTGGTGTCGTTTAAAGCCCTTTGAAGCTGCACTGAAACTCTCATTTGGACCTTGAACCGTTTGGTCCCCATTGAAGTCCATTATATGGAGAAAATCCTGGAATTTCTTAAAAATTATAATCCGCTACAGATTTAAAGGAGTAGTTCACTTTAAAAAAAACTTTTGCTGATAATTTACTCACCCCCGTGTCATCCAAGATTCTTCAGTCGAAAAGAAATTAAGGTTTTTGATGGATTTTCTCCATATAATGGACTTCAATGGGGACCAAACGGTTCAAGGTCCAAAAGACAGTTTCAGTGCAGCTTCAAAGGGCTTTAAACGATTCCAGACGATGAATAAGGGTCTTATCAAGCGAAACGAGCTGCCATTTAATAAATAAATAAATAACAAAGTTTAAGTTTTATAAGCGAACTAGAACCCTCTGTGTCCTTCAGTGTTGTTGACTCGCATCTCTCTCTCTCGTCCTCTCTCTCAGATCTACTTGTCATGGAAGAGCGGTCCCGCTGAGGTCAAACACTGGAAGGACATGTTGAGCCGGCCTCGCACAAACGTGGCGCAGTGGCACGCTCTCAAAGCCTGATTCGCCCTCTCCATCTCCCATGATTCCCTCCAACCCCTTCTGACCTTTGACCCGAAACCCCGTCCTTATGCACAAGACTAACTTGCTGCCAGGCGGCACAACACGGGTACTTTTAGCCATCCACTCTTGTAACCTTTAAGCTTCTGAATCTCTCCTCCACGTTCGTCTCTGTTGACTCTGGTAACGTGTAGTGTGAAGGCCTGCTGATTCACCGAGCGCTAATCACACGACCTTTCGAGCGTTAGCGTCCGTTCGGGACTCTGGGATAGTCACGAAATCCAACAAAGCCATTTGCAGATGCTCGCGCCACGACTACACGTTACCAGGATGAGGTTTATCCATCGTTCCCCCGTGCTCCTCGGGCCGCATCCGCCAACCCCACGTCTAGACCCCGGAGGCTCATGGGAGCTCATTTGGCAGCCTTTAAATTGGCCACCGCTGAAACGGATCCAGTCGCAGGAACTCTGGGAATTGTGTTTTTCCAGGTCCGCCGGCCCCGGAGCGCCGCTGTAATTAAAGCCATGAGGGGGAAAGAGACGCCCTCGTTTTCTTTCTCGTCTCCGTTTCGAGTTGTTTTTCTCCCCGACCTCTCCAGGCCTGATTTTCCGTGTCTTTGTTCCTTCCAGTGTCTCTCTCTCTCTCTCTCTCTCTCGATTGAAATCTTACGCCATCTGGAGACTCACGGACTCCGCCATCCTCGCCTCTCTTGCTTTTCTCTTTATCGCCGGCACAATAGTAGTGAAGTCCCTGTTTTTCTCGGGATCCCTTGTCGTCCGTGTGCTGTGAGTGACGTGTCGTAGATCCAACCCAATTATCGTTAAAAACATTAACCATCGGGCCGGAGAAAAGAAAACAATCGTTCCAGGAGGAAAATCCAGATGGAAGGGAAAAAAATACACACACACACAAACTTGATGTCATCTTTTTTCATAAAAAGGACATTTGAAGAAACCAATCCCAATTGTTCTTCCAGATTTGCTGTGAAATAGAGAAGCAAAGAGTTTCGCGCCGGATAGTTCTCGCCACACTTTGCTCTAGTGACGTGTTTCTTTGTGTGTGTGTGTGTGTGTGTGTGTGTGTGTGTGTGTGTGCTCATCTTTTACAGAAACACTCCTGTTAACGGGGAAAACACTGCCTTTACCCGCGCGCGCACGTGTGTGTGTGTGTGAATCTCACAGAAACATGTCCATGCTTTATCCCCAAATCACAAGAAATGATATTTTGCATTTGAAAAGTTACCGATAATAAAACACATTTTCATGCTATTACCATAAATTTGACCCTTTCACTAAATTATCAAGCATTTACCCTTAAATGCTCAATGCCATACAGTAAATAACTAATACAAACTAAATATAAACAAGCATAAATTAAAGCTACCTTGATGATTAAATGTTTTACAATTAAAATTATATATTTATATCGATTAAAAAGATGAATTGCGATTAATTGCATGCAAAATAAAAGTGTGTTTACATAATATATGTGTGTGTGTGTGTGTGCTGTGTATAATTATTTTGCATATATAAATACACACACATGCATGTATATATTTAAGAAAATAGTTATATATATATTAGGGCTGTGCGAAAATTAATTGCGATTAATCGCATCCAAAATAAAAGTCTGTGTTTACATAATATATTTGTGTGCGCTGTGTATAATTATTTTTTATATATAAATACACACACATGCATGTACTATATATATTTAAGAAAATGTGTTATTCATATATAAAATATTTATATTTATATAATATAGATTATATATATATATATATATATATATACAGAATTTAAATGCAAATAATTCTTAAATATATACATGCATATGTGTGTATTTATATATACAAAATAATTACATACAGCACACACAAATATATTATGTAAACACAGACTTTTATTTTGGATGCGATTAATCGCAATTCATTTTTGCACAGCCCTAATTTATATATAATATAGATTATGTATTTGTGTGTATATACACAGCATTTACGTGCAAATAATTCTTAAATGTATGCATGCATATGTGCTTATATATACTGTATATACAAATTAATTATCCACAGCACACACACATGTAATATGTAAACACAAACTTTTATTTTGGATGCGATTAATCGCAATTAATCTTGGCACAGCCCTTATATATGAATATGAATAGTAAAATATAATGCAATAATAATTGTGATTTTTATGCACATTTCCCCCATAACGCATCAAGGATTTCTTTCTGTGAATCCCGCTAGATTAATTCTAGTTACGTTAAAGCTGTGCAATTAACACTTCAATGCATGAATATTTGAACATTATTGTTTAATTTGTGTCCTTTACATACAGGCTTTATTTTCTATATGCAAAAAAACAATAATTGGCATTTGTTTCCTCTGATTTGGGGGTGATGTGTTCCTGACGGGTGTTGTGTGTGTATTACAGCATTAATGTCTATCTTCATTGATGTTCAAATAATCAAAGTGTGTGAATATGCTGCTCTATTTTCTCACGGCTTCCTTCCGTCTTATTACGAGACTCTTGTTCTCCTCTGAAGAGTTGGAGAAATGTGAGCTGCACTTTTTAACGGTGTAACTGAGAAATATAATAGCAATTGTTTGTAACAATAATAAATAGTTTTTTGTATTTTAAGGGAGGAGCGTTTTAAAGAGCGTTTCGGGGACGCTGGACTGGACTCTCTCTGTCGAATCATTTGTGTGTGTGTGTGTGTGTGTGTGTGTGTGTGTGTGTGTGTGTGTGTGGTTTATGCAGGCCGGCTGCTAGCGGTATGACGAGGCGTGTGTTAGCATGCAGTGTGGAGGGCGCCGTTGCCATAGGGTCACTATGGGGACGGAGTGTGTGTGCAGTTGTGTTTAGACGCTCAGCGTGACAGGGAAACACACCATAGACATATACACTAGACCTCACCTTGGATACGGCAGTTCATTGGAACGAATGCGTCAATAGAGCCGCCATCTTGAAACAGGGGAGCCCCTCCACTTTAATGCATCAGACACAGGTCTAGCGCAAATAAAATCACCATAAATCATCATGAACGCGATTTTTCTTGTTTTTTTGGTTTGTTCCAACGGTCAGACATGTATTTATCATTGATTCCAGAAAGAAAGAAAAAATGTAATTTTTTTTTAAAAAACATTCTCCCTAGTTCAGATTTCATCCGTGAACTTCATGCGCTGCACAAAAGTCCGCCACCATCAATGAATTCGAAGTAAAGGCAGCGTTACCTAGCTACTTCCTATGACAAGACCCCTGTTCCAAGATGGCGGCGGTTTTGACGCATGCTTAGAACCCCCAGGTGAAGTCTAGTGTATATGTCTATGGAAACACACAGGCATCTCTCTCTCTCTCCTGCTACTAGTTATTCTGAGACCTTTAACAGGACAGGCTAGAGCTAACGTTAGGCTACACGTGTGTTTTAGTAACATAACGAGTGCATAATGTGCATCATTTCAATGTTTAACATTCAGTTTATTTAGCGCGGGCTAATTTGACTTTGTGGCCAGTGTGATCCGTTTCAACTCTTCATAAATCTGATTGGATTTGCACTAAAGTCAGATTTGGACTGACACCTGTTGGTGTGGATGTAGCATTACAGATATCACCTAGCTTATTATTAATTTATTCTACAACCAAAGTTGTTAGAGAATATTCAGACGACCTACTTAGCTAATCTGGTCATGTGACCTCAATACGGCCAATCTCGTGAGGGCGTGCACTTTTCATGTCTTTAGATTTTACTGGTAAACTCGCGCTGAAGAAAAACACCAGAAGGATCTTCGGCTGTTCGATTCTGCAGTCTTACACACTCGACCCGTGTGTGTGTTTAATACATCTGCTTTGAGCCAGAAGCCATCTCAGATCAGTGGAGCGTCTAATGCGCTCAATGTAATCAGATAATAGTAGCGCTTAAACTGCGTGTGTGTTTGTGTTCGTTCTCCATATCTTACCCTTTAGCGTACACAAACATTGTGCAAGACGACACATCTGCTGAGTGTGTGCACGTGCATGCGTGTGTGTTTAAGCACTTTTTTAGTGTGTGTGTGTGTGTGCAGTCACATGTAAAGTCACCTTGATTTTTGCTTCGCCAATCGAAGCTAGTTTGTGTGTGTGTGTGTGTGTGTGTGTGTGACGTGCTGCTGACGGGATCAAATGAATATTGTGAATCAGTGTTTGAGTGCCTGTGCAGTTTAACTTCTCTAATGTGTGTCTCATGTTAGCGTTTAATGTTCACTGTGAGTCTGGATCATGTCAGCGTCTCGCTTGACTTTAGTGCATATAATATAGAAATGTCTGTATTTTAGCTGTGCAGAAACGACACACTTCATCTGGGGTTCAAATCAGTGCTGGTTTAATAATTCCTGAATAAATGCAGGACAGTTGAGCTTTATTTAGTAGTTATTCTCATGGGACTCGGTCAGCAGTCTGAAGAAGTGTGTGTGTATGATGGTCATTATGTGTGTGTGTGTGTGCACCTGCGTTCACCTGTGTGTGTGTTATAGAGCAGGATGATTGTTTTGGCAGTCAGTGTCACTGTGATTTATTTTCTACTTGGACCTTTTAGGTTGTTTTTTGTTTGTTTGTTTTTTTTTACGAAAACTGAAGTTCTTTCGCACACACACACACACACACACACTCATGCTGTTTTAAAGAATCACAAATGCATGCAATTGTTTTTCAGCTCATTAACCAGCAACAATAATTCCAGTTCTTCATTTTACCAAATTACTGATAAAAAAACAACAACATAAAAACAACTCCCACACACACCGCTGCAGTTCCCCTGTTCGCTCCCACACACACAAACATTATCAGAAAGATATGGCAAGCCGTTTTAGCTTTTATTCATTTCCAGGATATGAATTCTTGATATCAACAAGTGTATTTTCACTAGTGAAATGTCACCATAGGCTGCCATTCAAAACCAATTTTTGATATCAAGAATTGATTTCTTACTAATTGAAATACCAATTAAATTAATTATTACTAGTAAAAACCTTTATTTTTGATATCAAGAATTCAATTGTTACTACTGTAGTTGAAATGTCTATTCTTGATATCAACAATTGAATTGCTACTAGTAACAATGTTCATTTTTGATATCATGAATGTGATTGTTACTAGTAAGAAAAGCCATTTTAGATATCTGAAATAATAGTGATATCAGAAATACATTTTCAGATATCAAAAATGGTAATTTTTACTAGTAGCAATTGCATTGTTGATATCAAGAATAGACATTTCAACTAGTGACAATTTAATTATTGATATCAGGTATTCACATTTTTACTAGTAAAAATGTAATTATTGATATTAAAAATGATATTTCTACTAGTAAAAAATCAATTCTTGATATCAACAATTCATTTTGAATAGCAGCCTACGCCGTTTAGCTTTTATTCATTTCCAGGATATGAATTCTTGATATCAACAATGACATTTTTTGATATCAACAATTGAATTGCTGATATCTGTAATTGTATTTTCACTAGTGAAATGTCACCATAGGCTGCCATTCAAAATGAGTTGTTGATATCAAGAATTGATTTTTTACTAGTAGAAATATCATTTTTGTTATCAATCATTTCATTGTTACTAGTAAAAATGTGAATTCCCGATATCAATAATTAAATTATCACTAGTTGAAATGTCTATTCTTGATATCAACAATGTAATTGTTGATATCAAGAATTCATATCCTGGAAATGAATAAAAGCTAAAATGGCTTGCCATAGAAAGACGAATACATCAGTCACTCCTCCGTGCGATTATCTGCTCTTCAGAGACGAGAGCGAGAGAGTAAAATGAGTTTAGTGTGTGTTTGCAGCCGGTTGCATCATCATCACTGACAGTGTGAGCTGTTCACTTCTCAATTGTTGGCCATGGTTTGTTTATTCATGTTTGTGAAAGTAGAGCTATAAAAGAGATGTGGACAGCAGAAACTCTTATGTGATGAGAATATTGAGATCTGAGCTCAGATTGAGTCGTCACTGAGATCTACTGAAACACTACAGGACACGCAAGTCCAATTTGTCGTTTTCTGAGCGCACACTACTAAATATAAACTTGAGGAGATGCATACGTCATTACTTGGTTAGGAGACAAATAAGTGCGAATCTCCATTCTCAGCCTCTCTGAGAAATCATCGAGATAGTAAGGAGATCGAATCTAGCACAGTGTAAGCTTGATGAGATGCATTGTAAATCTCCATTTAGTCTCATTTCTCAGAGAAATATTTGAGATAATAAAGAGAGCTCGTGTTTTGGAGAAAGACATACGCTAGTATGTTTTTATGTTAAAATACGATTTTTTTTTAATACAAAAAGTTATATAAAATATTTAAAATGATTATTTTGGAAAAGATCTTTAGTAGAGATGTAAATGGCCTCATCTGACCTCACCTGTGGACGGGTTCTGTGTTGTGTGTGATGGTCAATCATAGTGCGATTGAGAGCCTAAGTCCC